CACACACACACACACACACACACACGAGTCCACCACACAATCAAATTCCATTTCATTCCATTCCCAAATCTATTTTCCAGCACTCTGATCTCCTCCTCTACAGTTACTGCTCTTTTCTATCACCCAGTCATTCAGAGGAGGTCTTTTCCTGTAGATTTTTTTTTGAATTTATTAATCCAATGAAAGGTGTGTGTGTGTGGGGGGGGGTAGGTGTGGCATTTTCAAAAGGGAATATCCTGAGGCAGAACAAAGTAAGTCTGAGTGTGCGATACAGAGAGCGATATTCATGGATCCATGCCTGTGGCTGGTCTGACGTGCCCAGTCCCTCGGCTAATGAGCCATTTTGAGTCCAACTGTATTTCTAACCATTAGTCAATCACCGTCTCCTCGCTCGTCCACTCCGACAAGCTCAGTGTGAAAAACGAAAAGAGACAGAGATGGCATATCCACTTCTGGTGGCAGGCACGGCAAAAGCAGAAAATGACTGAAATCGTGTGCTACGCAGTCCTACCTAAAAAAAAAACAAACTTGAAAACATAGTTTTTTGGCAGGTGGGGGTGTTGAAAGTCAATTACTGAGCATCGGAGCATGTTTGTCGATAAATGGAAACTGCAGTATTTAATCACCAGTGGGAATCAACCCCTCACTTTTAACACTGGGAGAGCCACACTAAAGCAGCCAAATGAAGCAAGCCTTAGGAATTATGGCACTGCAGAGGAAGAGAGGGAGAGAGAGAAACAGACACAAACATGCAGACCGAGAGAGGACCAACCCTTTGCCAATATCGCCTTCCATTTTCATGCCAGCAGAGCCAGCAGGTGCTTGAGCATTCAGGGTATGAGAAATGACTTTGAAACTGAATAAATATCTGTCTCTGTCGTGAGCCCTGTTAAATACCAGTATCCTGATGAGTTCATTTTATAGCCACAATTCTTCTGTGCTGACACATGTCAGAGTTTCACACCCCATCAGCGGAACACCAACCCATTTTGGGCTCCCAAAATTATTTGCACGCAAGCCACATCAGCAGCAGCAGCCAGGCGCTTCCACCTCATACTGCGTGTTTAACGACACTTGTGGCTCCTTCTCTCTGGGAGAGGGAGGGAGGGGGGGTAGAGCTGAAGGAATTATGTTGTTGAAAGGCGAGTGTAAAAAAAGAAAAAAAGAAAAACAGGTCCCAAAATGTCCCAAAGCGCCCTAATCCTCCCTAGAGACAGGTGGATTAACGGACGTTCAATGAATAAACACGTGCGCACGCGCCACACTGTTGTGTATGTGTGTGTGCGCGCGCGCACGGGTGCTGGATTATTTCATTCCCAGTTTGGTGCAGGTATTTGCTGCTGAGCGTAGCAGGGACGTACACGCGGACGGCCACACCCGCTCTGACTGAGAGCCAGCGGCGCGCGAGGACAGACCTGAGCACACCCTTTTTGAATGTCATCTTTCCGCCCCCATGCAAAGGAAAGGAAGGAAAACAAAAACAAAACAAAACAAAAAACGTGGAAAGCAAATCAGAATCCCACTTTGTTTCAACGACAAAAAATAAAATAAAATAAAAACTTGACATAATGTTCCAGTAACAAACTCGGAAATATCAGAAATAGTAATAGTATAGTCCAGTTTAGATTACGTTTTGTAACCGTGACGTTTTTATTTTCTCTTCACATAAAACAATGCGACGCGTCAACATAGCAGTAACTCGGCTCCATTCATCTGCAAAGTTTCCTCATTTGTTCACGTTTTTTTTCTTTATTATGTGCGAACAACGATGCTACTCTGCGGTTGTGACCTCCGTGAGGGCCGGGTACTCTAACTGAGATTAAAATGACTTTGAAAAGTTGACTCATTACGCCTTCAGCATGCCGTCTTTACTACGTCCTCCAACTTTCTCCGTCTATTCCTCTCCAAATACCTCCAGCAGCGCAGATGACCTCTGCTGTTGGTGTCAAGGATGCAAGGGCGCGCTTGAACATCTCCTTGAGCGCATTTAGGTAATTAAAAATAAGAGAAAAAGGTGTACTCACCAGTGAAGACTGTTTGTTGTTCTGCCTCCCTGCAGTTTGAGCTCTATGTCTAATTATAGCTGGGCAACATCCTCCTTATATTCTTATTGCTGGCTACAGTACGTCCATGTCCTCTCTCTCTCGGGGACTCAGTCTCCGTTTCTGGTTTATCTTCTGAGTGGGGGCACGCAAATCCTCCAGCCCGGGATGTGCGTCTGCCTCCTGGGCAGGGTTTTGTCAGTTTGTCCCGGAGACAAAAGCAACAGCAGTAGCAGCACAGGAGGTGGACCGGGGCGGACGCACCGGACGCGTTCTCCTTTCCATTGTGCGCGCACCGAGACGCGTCCTGCAGCCACGCACGAGGGGAAAGTGACAATCAATCCTGGCTCAAGTTCAAGGCAAAGACAGGGTTTAATAACTGTAGTGGGGGATGCTGGGAGGTAAGTCTCTTTCAAGGAAAGTTTAAACACTGAAGAGCCAAGCGTTGAGGAGGATGAGAGAGGCGGCAATAAACTGGCAACTGACTGAAGCTGAAGGGAGGGAGGGACAAAGAGAGAGAGAGAGGGAAAGAGCACTGCAGACTCGGATTCGCTTTAGCGACCACGAGTTGATTACTGGTCCCGCACATTTTCATACCTCTACCGTCACTAGAGACGAGTTCATGCTAATTTTGAAGTCTTGTCACGGTGTGTGAATTCTGTGAAGCTGCACAACGAGTGTTTTATATTTCTATGTTTATCTGTGCTGTTTAGTTGTGCTAGCACATGATGCAGTGGATTACACAGAGAGACAAATCAATTTACTTATATATAAAAATAGAATATGGTTGAGTTCATCCTATTTTTACTTGGAAAATTTTTTTTCTTTCCTTGTGAGCCAGGTTTTGTCACCATTTGAGGTGGCGGCCTATTAAGTAAAGCATTGATTCTTGCAGAAAAAATATTCTTCAACTCAATAAACATGAAGCAAAGATTTTAAGTAAAATGCAATTGAATATATAAATAAAAATAAAATGTTTATTTATTCAGTTATTTAACCAGTAAGGAAAACATGCTTGGTATAAAGTGATCATACACCAATCATCCATCATCCATCCATCTTCTTTCACTTATCTGGGGCCGGGTCGTGAGGGCAGCAGCCCAAGCAGAGAAGCCCAGCCCTCTCCCCAACCACCTCCTCCAGCTTATCTGGGGGAAGACCAAGGTGCTCCCAGACCAGCCGAGAGATATAATCCCTTCAGCGTGTCCTGGATCTGCCCCGGGGCCTCCTCCCAGTGGGACATGCCCAGAACACCTTGCTCAGCTGGCTCCTTTCGATGTGGAGGAGCAGCGGCTCTACTCTGAGCCCCTCCAGGATGGCTGAACCTCACCCTATCTCCAAGGGAGAGGCCAGCCACTGTTCGGAGAAAGTTAATTTCCACCACTTGTGTCTGCGATCTAATTCTTTCGGTCACTACCCACAGCTCATGACCATAGGTGAGGGTGGGTACATAGATCGACCGGTGATTTGAGAGCTTTGCTTTTACACTCGGATCTCTCTCTTTACCATGACGGACCAGTGCAGCTGATATGATATGCTGGGTGGCGCATTCTGACCAAACATCATCTCCAGTTTGATCTCTTCTGTTCAGATCCAGTTCTGCTGTCATGGTCCTTTCAGAGAGAAGAGCCCTTCTCATGGTTCAGCTTAACATATCTTATGATATTTCCTAATGCAGCAGCTCAAGCCCAGCTTGCTTAGTCGGTAGAGCATGGGACTCTTACTCTCAGGGTCGTGGGTTCAAGCCCCACGTTGGGTGTGGCTGCTTTAAGACAGGACTCTTGTCAGGTAAAAGCATGATTGTTTGACCTCTACCTGGATTGTTCTAAGCATCACATCTGACAGCCTTGAAATGCTTGAAAACATCTTTCATCCAGTGTAGTTGTGTACTTGAGGTAGGAGGACATGGAGTGACGCTGCTAACACCCAAACATGAAGAGGCTAAATCTAGTCAAATACTCATTTTATTACTTAGACCTGGCTTATACATTTGGGTTTTTTTTTGTTTTTTTTTTCATTTGAGCTCTGGTAAACCATTAGACAGGAGGATAAACCCGTTTCCTGGACAGCTGTACACAGATGGGGTGGAGGGCTGCTGATTTCATCTGGGGGTATAGTCAGGTTGAGAAAGTCATGGAGGAGGAACTTCTGATAGCACAGACTGACATGAATTAATCTGGCAACTTTCTTGATATTCTGATATTCTCAATATTTCCTGGAGGGACTTGATACGTTTAGACACTTTTTCTGAGAACTCTGAAGTTCAACATTGGAAAGATCCATTTGGAAACAGGAGATTGTTGAAAAGTTTTGCATTTCATCCTTATACTTCCTCAGCCACCACCTTTACTACTTGCTTAGTCCTCCCACCTGGTCAGTTCTGCCAGTTAGCTAGCACCACTACAGCTATTAGTCAATATGATTGCTAGCAGCAAGTTAAACTTCTAGCATTGCTTTGCCTGACACTTAGTTGGCCAACAGAGGAGCAGTTTAGGTAGAACTGTCCTTGAATTGTCTGATAACCTGATTGGCCTCTTGGCCGCTTTAGAGTCAGTTGTGTGGGTCAATCCTCGGACTGCCAGCGATCTTCTGTCTTCTGGTTCATGGCAGGTTTCTTGAAGCTCTGGTCTCCAGGATTTTGATCACCCCACAACCTGCACTTAACTGAACTATTCAGCTCACCCAGCTTTCCCCAAAGAGGATCCAGCCTCACTACATCCCGCTGGCCAGTAGACGTATTCCACATTCAACGGCTGCCCTGCCTTTAGGCCATCTACCTGAAGTATCTGTTTCTCCTGCTCACAAACCACAAAACCATCCACTGGATCTGTGCATGTGCTCACCAGCCCTTGGGCTGTCTGCCCAAGATCTTTGGCTCTTCTCTCAGTTGACCAGTTATCAGACCTGCCTTGCAGCATTTTCTTTGCCTGCTACTATTATGGTGTTTGCCTCCCCTGACTGCTTGTAATCTTGTACTCCTCCACCTGACTTGCAGCATTTAATCTCTGTACAACATGACTGTAGGTCTAATCAGCCAAAATAACTAAAAACTCCTGTGTGGTTGTGCAGATTCACAAACAGATTATGGAAAAGTGAAAACTATTCAAAAAGATAAGAGATTTTCAGATGCATACTAACATAGGTGCACGTATACACACAGGCTTATACTACAGCTACCCATTTCTTTAGTGGAGATTACACTGAGATTAATTTCCTGTAGATTTACATAACTGTTTGTCAAATCTTACCATTATTGTTTTTTTTACAGCTCAATCTGTGTTACAGACAGAGCTGAAACTAAATGTAGTTCAGTCTGCTACATACAAAGCATTGATTCACATGTCTCAGGAAATTTCTCCGTAAGGATTTTTTTCATTTTGTCAATGTGTAAGCAAATTTAGGCCCCAGAAACACACAATAAGCTGTAGCACTGTAAATCAGAACAGGAATTAACCTCCCATCTCTATAGCTTTAAAATTAATTAACCTTTACCAATGAACTTAAATATTTATTAAACATAGAAACTTTAATTTAATGTCAGAATGACAAAGCACTGTAATAAATTCAGCAAAAATTGCATGCATACTTTGTCAGATAATGCAGAGCAGATATTTCTATGTCTTACAGTAAAGAAGTGAAGCAGCAGGACAGCTTGATCTTTATTCCTCCTCCATGCTGTGTTATGCATCATGCTACACTTGTTTCTTGTCAGAGGATAAGGGCTGCCTGCCTCTTTTCACATCTTCAGCTCATGTTGTTTATATCTATATGCTATACAGATCACACAAAGCCCACAAAACCTCCATGACAACTAATGTAGTGGTCAGCACCATCATGACCTGCACCGGAGGAAAAAGAAGACAAATGGATGTGGGGGATAGCGGCACAAAGTATTTCATATTTATGTTTATTCATTTGGTAGATATAGATGTTCACTCAGCACAACATGCATTTATAATATATGCCAAAATGCATGTTGGTATTTTTGTTATTTAGATAAGGCTGGTCTGTGATGTTTCACTGTGTGACACCAATGACATAATAACCATCATAGAGAAAAACTACCTGAGAATTTACATTTTTTTAAAAATTCATTTATTTCAGTTTTTTTTATACAGTATCAAATCACAGCTTCAGTCGCCTCAATGTGCTTTATATTGTAAGGTAAAGACTCTACAATAATAGATACAATCAAACTACCACCTATGACCGGCAGGCACTTAGCAACAGCATAGAATGAAGTCAATATACAGTTGTGTACATAGACCTCCTTACACAGAGAGTAGAAAGTGCATGGATAAATAGTTTTAGACACAACCTAGTAAGAGAATCAGGCCATATGCATTCACTGGACACTTCCGCCCTACTAGTATCAGGCTGGAGCCGTTTTGCTTTCACAGTTGCTTTAATTCTTAATGGCACAGATTCAACAAGGTGCTGGAAACAGAGATTTTGGTCCATATTGACATGAGAGCATCACACAGTTACTGCAGATATGTCAGCTTCACGCCCATGATGAGAATCACCTGTTCCAGCTCATCACAAAGGTGCTCTATTGGACAGGGTGACGGTGGAGGCCAGTTTGAGATGATTTGAGCTTTGTGACACTGTGTGTTACCCTGCTGGGATCAGCCATTAGAAGATGGTACACTGCGTTTATAAAGAGATGGACATGATCAGTAACAATACTCAAATAGGTGGTGTTGTTTAAATGAGGCTCAGTTTGTTCTAAGGGGGTCAATGTGGCTTCACAATTACACCCCCACCATCCTGAACTGTTGACAAGGCAGAATGGTTCCATGCTTTCATGTTGTCTATGCCAAATTTTGACCCTGCCATCTAAATGTTGCAGCAGAAATGAAGAGTCATCACACTATATTTTGGTGAGGTCCTGTGAACTGTAGCCCGAGTTTCTGACAGAAGTGACAGCGTCAAGGTTTGACATGTCATGCATTCAGAGATGCTTTTCACCCTACTTTTGTGCTAAGTGGTAATTTGAGTTATTTTCTTTTTTTTTTTAAACCATTCCCTGTAAACGATAGTTGTTTTGGAAAATCCCAGCAGATCAGCAGTTTGGGAAAAACTCAGAGCAGCTCACCTGGCACCATCATTCATGCCACATTCAATTAAGCCACTTAAATTACATTTCTTCATCACTCTGATGCTCAGTGTGAACTTCATCGGGCCTTCTTGACCAGAATTAATACAGTGATTTGCTTTCATATGACTGGCTGATTAGATATTTGCATTATCAAACAGGTGAACAGATGTATCTTAAAAAGTAGGTAATGGGTTCATATTACAATTTTTACTACTATAAACTATACTAATGAACAAAACCATAAAGGAAATTATAAAAAAAAGAACTAAAGAGCAGCAAAGGTTCATTTTATATGACTACTGAACATCTTCATTTTGAACTAATAAAATAATAAAGTCTGTCATCAATTTCA